GAGCGAGTATATAGTGACCTCTACAGAATCGTTTGTTTCAAAACACGGATGTCCGCATTGTGGAGTCCGCTGCGAAAATTAGCACACTATGCTCGAAAGTCAAGAGTAGACAAGCTTATCGTATGCTGCATATGCTATACCGTAGCCTATAGGCTGGACAGAGCGCCTCTCACAAAACCCTATCAAATTCGAAGAACAACTCTATAGCGTAACTGAGCTCCTACAGTTGTCTCATGTACTGCAGAGAAAGCAACCTCGACCTCAACAAACAACGCTGGACACGATGACCACCTATCCATGATTACTACAACGCGATCAACCGTGCTAATATCATACTAACCTGCCTCAGTGCCACACAGAAAATCGGCGCAGTCAACCCTTCTCAACGACACTCAAAGAATCAGATAAAGTGAAGCGAGAAATACGGTTTTCGACGAAGTTAGAGATGCAGGTATAACAATGATCCTTAGCACCAGTGGGAGAAGAATCTGGCAGCACCGAGTGAATCAAGTATAACATCACGATTCGGTACAAAAAAAGTTCACTCTCTTCGTTACTATTTCTCTGCTAAGTTTCCTTATTTCTCTGCTACCTTAAAAAGGAACGTAGGAACGAAGAGAAGTCCATCGCTCTTTCGCTGCTTCACTACCTTTCCCACAACCAAACTTCACCATGCAATCTTCTCCAACTGTAGCAGCATTCAACCTCATCGTCACCCTCGAGTTCTTAACAGCATCGGGCCTGTGTCTCCCATAGTCTTCGATAGCATCCTCCTAGTCCGTTCCGCCCAGTTCGGGAGCCAGCAGTGTAAGCATAGTCGGCTTATGATCAGCACAACTGCGATAGATGTTAGAGAGGGCGTGCAACTGGTGCCACACGTTCTCAGACAGAGACGTGAAGGTTGTGTCGTCGCTGGTCTTGATTGAATTAGACCAGCCCTAAACACACTTACTGCATGATTGGGCACATTCGCCTCACATACAAGCTGAGAAACCTATGATGTTTTATCCTTTCGCCTGTGACACAGCTACTTCGGAAGGACTCGCCGCCATACCCGGTGATTCGACTCATGAGCTGATCACAAGGATGACAAACCAAACTACTGAAAACTCACTTTTGGTGGTGCCAATCAACACGACATATCGAGAAATCAGATCAATCCCACGTAACGGTATAGAAAAGCTTTCCTCCAGTCAGCAGCGCATCCCAACGACGGGCAGGTGCTATTTAATCACAAAATCTCATTACTCTTGCTCAAGTCAGGGGTCCTTCGGCTGATCAGGACCGTTAGCCACGTCATCATTACCCTCATATTCTTCATCCTCCTCGTCCTCATAAATAGTATCAAAGATAAAGCTTTTTGTAGAACTAGCAGCGTGATGACTCGAATGACAACTTCGACAAAATGTCGAACTGCCTTCATTCAAAGAGCCCAGCAACTCACCTCGCGGTCGCTCGCATAGTATACACGTATCGACATTGTCAAAGTTAACACAGCGACACTCAGGGCATTCCCATTGGCCCGAGATGCCACTTAGGAAGTTGCTGACGTTGCCTTGCTTCGGCGAACCTGGCTCTGATCGGTTATCCCGAAGTCGGAGTCCGATCAAATGCTGTTGACCAGCTTGCAACCACAACGAATATTTGGAAGTCATATAAACATCAGCGTCGAAGTTCCGACAGCCTTCCTCAGCTGCCGTACGAAAAGTCGCATGAAACAGTGTAGTTGATCTCGATGCCCTCGACTTAGCCGCATACGCTTCGAACCGTTCGCGTTCACTCTCATCCTCCACAAAGTCCAGCAGAGATTTACCACACATCGGCGTCAAGAAGACGTAGTCCAGCCTCGGATCGGAATCCCCGACGACCCGCAGATCGTTGTCAACCCAGATAGTAGCATCGAAACTCGCCCGTAGCAAATCATGCATGTGGGATTTATAACTATCAGCCTCCCGTTCCGCCACAATTCTAGCAATGGTCTCAAGATGGACCGGAGTGAGGACTGCCAAGACAATAGCACAACTACACCAGTACGCCGATATGTACTCCTGATGTATGGTGTCGAGCTCAGCGATCTGTGCTATAGACACCATAGATATTATGGCATTCTTGACGATACACAATACGATGGTTACCCAATAGGAGTAGCTAGTGAACCCTGTAACGAGGAAAAGGAATATGTTACTACAGAATCCATAGGGACTACTCAGAGCGATACAGTATGACACAAATAAACTAGCTGTATAACGTGCAGACCA